AGATGTTTATTCCTGTATCTGCCTACTAAATGACTGACCAACAAGAGACGTTTATTCCTGTATCTACCTACTAAATGAATGCCCATGTTAGTGATGTAACTAAACTACTTATAATATAAAATCTGGAGTAATATAATAATGCACCAATGAAAGACTAGCCAAGTAACACATATATGAACCAATGAGAAATCAAGTCTCCCATATAAAGGTGTACAGCAAGTTCTATAGTAAAACCTTCATACAGTGTTTCTCATTGTATTTGCCATCTTGCTAACTGCCTACACTAAGTCCCTTTTCCATTTTCTCAACAATTCCTTTAGTTCATATCTCTCTCCTCTGATATATCGCCGAATTTCTTCATAATGTAAAACTTTCACTAGATCCATTATGGGGTTTTACTGTATAATAAAAAGTGGGCATAAGATTGTTTGGTCGTAGCCTGTGTCTCTGATCTTATGTCTGGACCAGCTGTTACTCAAACACTTCAATGTAGCATGTCATTGTGTCTTGTTAACATCTTTCAATAACTTATCAGGCTTCAATGTGCGTTTGTCTTCAAACACTTTATTAGACATATCACAACTGGTCAATTTAGATCATCCCCGAATTCACTTAGAACTTCCTGTTGGAATACAATTCATTAATAATAATTTGAGAATGTAATCATTCCTAACATCGCCTAAAACTAAACATCTTCGACAATTATTTATAAACAATGGATGAAATAATCCCCAGAATCATTTAAAACTTAGTATGTTAGTATACCATTGATCAACAGACATGGGTTTATTCTGCAGCTCTAAGTAAAGGACACATGCTACATTATAATGTAAAGTCTCAGTCTCCTTTTCAGAAGAGTTCACAATAAGAAAACTGATAAAATTTCTTTTTACAAATGGAATCTTTTAAGTAAGAATGAAACTCTTTGATTCAATTCATACAAGTTAAATACTGATAACAATGAATGATTGATTCTGTTAAGCCATGTTGAAATGCACACTTTGAAAAATGCAGCCTCCAATTTTCTATAACCAATTAAAGCATTATTAAACTTGGAACACACATTTTGTCACTAAATATATGTATTACATAATACAGAATTTGAATATTACCTATGCAAAACTTAATATCAAAGTACCAAAAGGGAAAGGCTGAACAGAGGTTAACCTAACCCTTTCACCCCTATGTAACTTTTGTAAACTCTACCATGCATTGATCTGGACAAGTCCATTATGGTCTACAGTGGTAAAAGTGCTAATACATAATTTACTAATACAAGATTTGGTAATAAAACATCAAAGGGTCAACATTGAAGTGCTGATTGAACAATCTTAACCAAACATCATGTAATATATGCATATCAATATGTATTACACCATGTAATGTATGAATATCAAACAGTTACAGCAGCAATGTTTGACATAAACTGAAACCTGTCTAAACCAAACACAGTACAGAAATTCTCGAGGATTCTAGACAACCAAGCTTACATTTACATCTAAGAAGGTCATGTTAAAAGGGATACTGGGAGAAAACAGATGTAGGTTCCTACAGGTAACTATTGATACAAGGAGGAAACAGATGGATGTTCCTACAGGTAACCATTGATACAGGGGGAAAACAGCTGGAAGTTCCTACAGGTAACTATTGATACAGGGGGAAAAAAGCTGAAGGTTCCTACAGGTAACTGTTGATACAGGGGGAAACAGCTGGAGGTTTGTACAGGTAACTATTGATACAGGGTGAAAACAGCTGGAAGTTCCTACAGGTAACTATTGATACAGGGTGAAAACAGCTGAAGGTACCTACAGGTAACCATTGATACAGGGGGAAAACAGCTGGAAGTTCCTACAGGGAACTATTGATACAGGGGGAAAACAGCTGAAGGTTCCTACAGGTAACTGTTGATACAGGGGGAAAACAGCTGAAGGTTCCTCCAGGTAACCATTGATACAGGGGGAAAACACCTGGAAGTTCCTACAGGTAACTATTGATACAGGTAGAAATCAGATGTAGGTTCCTACAGGTGAATTTTGATACAAGGAGGAAACAGCTGGAGGTTCCTACCTGTAACTATTGATACAGGGGGAAAACAGCTGAAGGTTCCTACAGGTAACTATTGATACAGGGGGAAAACAGCTGGAGGTTCCTACCGGTACTTCATGTATTTGATTAAAAATACTTAAAATGGTTATAGAAGAAATAGACGAAATCTGATTTTAGTTATATCTGTTCCAGTCATGAAAAAGAGATAAGATTAAATAAAAGGATTATTGATTTAAATAAAAGTTGTACCTTAGTAAATAAAAAATAAATAAAAAAATGTGAGCTGGATTTGAGCAATGTAATTGTGAACCAGCAATAGAATAATGTATATTGATACAATAGCCATGTACTGAGTAATACTCCTTTCTGGTTTTTGAAGTTTGAACTTGTGTTGTGTGTATAACAGTACAATGTGCAGTTTTAGCATTGGAGTAGACACTATTATCCTTCAACACAACTTGTAAATGTTATACACAGCAAAACCTTTAAATTGGCACTGAATTTGGTGACATGTAATAAATTATGAACTTTAATACCAAAGACATTAGTCCACTATTAAGTACATAAAGTTACAAATACATTTTGGTTATATTACATTATGCAACACTCCGAGGAACACGCAGATTTGTGACACTTGGCAAGACAGATCAGAGGAGCGCTGAAGGAGGACCACAACACACAAGTAAGATAATGAAGGTGTGGGGATTGAAGATCCTATTTTGGACTACAAGCAATAGCATGTATCACTCCTATGTGATATAGATAACTCATCCTCAAGGTAACATTTTAACGGTTTGAGGCATTGCTTTGTCCTCAGCCTCAAACATATTCTCCCGAGTGTTGAGAATCACACAGGAGTAATGGATTGGTTTTCTCACACACTTTCCTATTTCCTAAGTGTATCAGTGAACCTGATGAACTATGACATCGGTAACATTTGCAAAAGAATTATTCTGCATCCCCATGTGATATGGCAGGGATATCGATGTATCATGGTATTTTTGGGGGGAAATATGATAGGTCCAAATTGAGAAAAACATCAGAAACACAAAGAAATTTGGCCTTTTCAAATGTTATAATTGTGAAAGCATCACTTATTATGCACTCATTTTTTTTTCTTTTGAAAAAATGTCAAGTATACTATACTTTTATGTCATTCATAAATTACAATAAAGGACAGACAGGTGAAAAAAAAAAATGAGCAAATTGGGAACTTGTTTGAAAAAATTGGAAAAAAGGACGATAAACCCCTGTATAGTTACCCTATATGAAGTATGAAATTTGATGACACAACTGTAAATTGGTAATAGTTTAAGAATAAAAGTGCATGCGAGATGTCCTTCCCCAGGTAGAAATGTCTAACAAGAGTACACCTGTAAAGTATGGGAGAAAATGTCTTCCCTCTTTTACTCGATGGCACACATACAATGAGAACAGTGATCTAGCGCTATGAAACTTCCAGAACCTGAATTTAACACTTCCCTATACTTTTTTATGCAACACTATTGTTTTCTTATGAATGGGACAAACTGAATGACTTTTCAAACAAAAAATGTCATCAAAAGGAACCAGTTTTTCCAAGACTGATCACAATGAGAATGTTCAATCATATTCACATATTCTCCTTTTTTTTAACCATGATAAAGATGTAAACAGTTGCCTCAATCACAAAATCTGTTGTTTTTTTAAATTCACTCCAATTCTACATGGCAGTTATTTTTCTCCCTATTACAGCAGCCTGCATGAATTCTGAAACTGAACTTTTTTTTTTTACATTGGGACCAAATTCCTCATTTTTTCTTAAAATTGAGAAAAATCAATTATTTATTTTTGGCTTGGGGAAGCAGTCTGTTTCAACTGCAAAATGAGGTAAAAAAAAATATACTAGAAGAGGATGAAAATTCCATAGCTGTGGATCGCTCATTCAATGATTTTAGAATAACAAGCACTTTTTTTGTTAGTATTTAATCTGGTTTGGTTTGTTTGTGCTTACATAGTATTAACAGCTGAAGCCATTTGTTAAATTTTTTGACCATAGTTTGATGGATTGTTTTTTACTAAATTTCTAGTACTTTTTAGTTAGCCTAATGGCATGCTTACAAGGTAGTATGATTAGAAGGTAAATTAAGTAAATCATGGGACTATCCTTTGCATGTTTTTTGATAAAAAAAATGTCAGGCAAAAACTTGGGGATACATTACACTTACAGCTTGATACATATACTGGTCAAGTTGACAATGCATACAGCTTGATACATATACTGGTCAAGCTGACAATGCATACAGCATGATACATATACTGGTCAAGTTGACAATGCATACAGCTTGATACATATACTGGTCAAGTTGACAATGCATACACCTGTCGACTAGTGTTTCTGGTGACATGAGGAGGCACATAACAACCAATATTTACATAGCAACCAATATTTACAGATCATTAAATATATACATATATATATGCTATTTACATAATGTACATTATGTACAGACCATCAGATGCTGATGTGGAGGACACTCAATCAAGAATACGGGTATATCTTATACAATACACATAAACAATTACAAAAGTGTATATAAATATTTTACTTCAACAGTACAGCTGGTTATTAATAAAGTGGCATCAAGTTTAAATAATTTGTTTTACCCCGATTGTTTGCAATAATTTTTATTGTCATTCTGCAGTGTATTTCTCATCTCCAAGGTTTCTAGAGGAAACTTATTCCATTACTATTTTGATAAAAAAAAATCTGCGTGAATAGCTACTCTGAAGTAAAAATAATCAATTAATTCTTATTCCTAGCTTATTTCAACACCAAAATGTTAACAGCCATTTAAGTGTAAAATAGAGTAAAATATTGAACACCGGTGACAGAACAATCATTGATTGGTTTTTACTCGCATGGAAAGGAATGTAAAGGTGATAGCAAAATACCTAAACATAAAACGCTGGTATGTCCAGTGTCAAGAATAACCTCTCTATATATAAAGTTTTATAGATATGGTGGCACTGGGTTTGAAATAACAGTTGGAAAAAAACATTAGAACTGTTTATTGTATAACAAATTCTTAATTTCTACAAATGAAACAGGATAAATATGAAACCATTCAGTGACTTTGGGGGTCCTTTTCCTCAGAGTAAGAATAGAATTCTATTTAGCTGTCGATATTATCATATTCAGTAATTAAAAAAAAAGCCACAGTAACTAAAATTTACAATGAGATAATAAAAAGCTCCTTTAAGATCTAAGAATTTTAAAAACATCCATTAATAGACCTCAGAAAAACAATTAGGTTAACTGTGATTAAAGCGCTGTAAAATAAAATACATGTCTGTTGTAATGTCGATAATCGTGTCCGTCCTTACTGGCTGTGATGTCTGTACATGATGTTCTCTGTGGGGTTCTGCCGCCAGCACAGAACATGCGGATGCACGCTAACCTTAAAACAATTTGTAGAAGTTCGTTCTCCTGACAAATATCACCGTACACCAAATTTCTCCTTCACACTTTGTAGAAGTCTTTCTCCTGACAAAATCTAAGCACAAGCACACAAACTTCAGAGTTTGTGGGGAAAAAAAGAAACCAAAAAACACACCTGATTGTAGAAGTCTTTCTTCTGACAAATTCTCCACAATTGTTTCACAAGCACACCTGCAACACCTACATCACATAAGAAGTCGGGAAGCAGCTCGAAGGAAACATTGAATAATGTATCCCTGTAGGGAATACATGACGGAAAATAATCAGCAATTATGTAGAAGTCTTTCTTCTGACGAAATTGAATGATCTGTATGATATTTTCTATATTAGAAATACCATTGTTGACGAACGATTTGTATAAGTTTTTCTTCTCACAAATCTAGACCTCAATGTAAGGTCTGACAACTCTATGGGTACTGACCAGTTATTTAACAACCCAATCACCTGTTTGATCAAACATTTTATCTTGCATCTGACAAGTTGTCAAACACTTATAATTAGATGAAATTGAGTTGTTGTTACAGTTGTAATCAATTCAGAAAAAAATAAAATAAATCGAACCCCTAACTAAAATAAAAATAACAACCAAAATAAAGTTAGAAAAAGACACAATTTTGCAGCTGATAAGATAACAAAATAAATTATCACAATTTCAGATAGTCAATACTGGTCAGATCTCTATATTGATTTTGTTGGAAACTTCATGGGTTTAATTTTGCATTTCTGAATAACAGTAAATCAATTACAATCTAAACACACAAACACGCTAGAACATCATCAATACTTGCCACCACTAATAAATTACATGACCGGCTAGTTCTCAGACCTAGTCATTCCAAATTTAAAACCAAAGATGAACACATTTGTCAGCAATACTTTAGCACCAAAACTCTTCTAATTTAAATGCATGTACCTTTTAAATGTTAATAGATACAAGAGGTATTGAGAACATAACTCAAAGCTTGCCTATTCAAAGAATATCTGAAAAGTCCAGAACATGCCAAATTTATTAAACATCTACCCTGACCACATTGTATCAATGTTGGACACCTTAGCCCTTTCCCCCCTGTCACTTTAATAAACTCTACCATAAATTAATCTGGATGAGTCCATTATGGTCAACAGTGTTGAAAGGGTTAGGAACCTCCAAGCCAAATATCAGAATCCCAATACAAACACTTAAGATTCTATTTATGTTAATGTTCACATCAATGTAGGGAGAATACATAGGCGTCCTTATTCTTGGAATAGGCGAGCTAAAACACCTAGCCAATTTTAAATTTAAATTGTATATATGTTTATTGGAAATATTTAATGTAATCAAAAAGCAGTAAAATTAACAGTTGCATCTTTAATATATATATCATTCCAGACTATCTATTTCTATTTTAAAACTGTTTTGGTGGTACTGTATATATATTTCATATCGTTTTGATTTTCATTGTAACTGACATTTACACAATATAATTCTATGACTTGGCGAACACTGTAACGAACACTGTAAAATTGATATTTCTCCCCGTTTTATTTTTCGCCGGGCAACAAAGTGTTAATAGTTGAAGTAGTTTTAATAGATCAGGAAATGAAATTTAACAATGGCCAACTTCATTTTAAAAGGCCAGAGAAAAACAATTTGAAAGAGTGACAATGTAACGGTATAAAGTAAAGTCTTCCTTCTGTTAAAAAATGGAGACTGGTGCACAGATCAGATGTCAGGCATCACGACTAACTAGGCACACCCTCTGTGGGCGGGGGCAGGGTGGGGTAAAGTCGGTTGTGGGAAGAGCTGGAGGACTAGGGATTATGGGCAGGTTTGGGGATGGAGAGATGGTCGTCGGAGGGCACTGTCACAACTTGCACTGTCAACCCTTTCACGTTGCCATACTTTTCTTCAGCATCCTGTTTCTTTGAAAGACTGTATTTGAATGTCTCATACACTCCCCATGAGATTGCTGTGGCAGGCATTTGAAAGATGACCCTTGCCTGCAGTCCTCTGAAGAAACCTAAGAACCCTTGGAATTCATATACTGTCCTACATGCGGCTGCCATACCGTCAACATATGATACTTGTTTGCGGGCGCAACATTCCTGTGTGTTGAGTAAAGTCTTACAAACATCTAATGGCATGGTTACTGCTGCCGATGTTGCCCCTGCCAGGCCTCCAGAGATCACATGACTTAATGGGTTATACTTTCTATCATGGTTTAAAATATCTTGCATTTTCTCATACACGATGAAGTGCGTAATTTGAAATGGAAGATTCATAGTCAACTGTGTTGTGTAACTTCTGTAGAAGGCTCTCAACCCTTCCTTAGTATAAACATCTTTAGTGCAGTCTACACACGACTTGTATGGACTCCCATACACTTGCATCCGTTGTTTTATCACTGTACCAGGTACGTAAATAATCAACCGGAGGTCAAATACAAAACCAGCCAGGTCAAGGTCAGCAAACGTAGCATCAAGGTCAGCGAGTGCAGTATCATCAAGGTCAACAATAGCAGTTTCATCAAGGCCACCAAGTGCAGAATCAGCAAGAAGAAAAAAAAGACAAAAACACAAAATAAGAACTTGTTAAGAATTGAGTTATATCTACACAAACAATAGTGTAATGTGATTGCAGTAACTTGTTAAGAATTGAGTTATATCTACACAAACAATAGTTTAATGTGATTACACTAACTTGTTAAGAATTGAGTTATATCTACACAAACAATAGTTTAATGTGATTACACTAACCTGTTATCTTTTCATGGAGCAGTTCCTCTTTTAATATAAATAAATGCAACCGCACTAGTGAAAGATATTAATTCGCCTGTTCTTGTTTAATGATTTTACAAGTAGTTCACCAGAAAAATGATGGCCAGTATTTGCATTATTGAGACTTGTAACTGAATTTAAAAAGGTATAATATATATATATATATATAAAAAATACCCAGAAAAGGAAGTGAAATGCATGCACACAAAATGTCAGATATTTTTAGTAACTCATATTTCTCAACAAGCATCAAAGTGATGACCTTCAGTTTTAGATGAGCTAGGATGTTTGAAGGACACATATCCTGTGACAATAGTATATAATATACAATTGTGTATGTAACACTTTTGTATGTATATTACTTTTCATTTTATTGTCCTTGGCAAAATTAATATACTATATCATGGACTTAAACAGAAAGTGGAAGAATCCAAGTAACTGCTTCATAGAAACAGAGACCTATAATACAGTGTACAAAAAAGCCGGCCATATTTGATGCAAGATTTATGTGCCTATGTGGCCTAAAAATATTTGAGAGGATGAGGTAATAATTCAGTTTACAAACTTCATATAAATGCTTTTTTTATACCCCCCCCCCATGAAGTATTTCTTCAAACTATGTTATATACCGGGTGATAAAATGTTAAGACTTTACTACTGTACCTGACAGATGACAAGTACACGGTGGTATATGCTTTACATTAGGAAAAAAGCACACGGATTACTTCAAATATGGCAAACAACTTACCTGCCAACCCCATCTGTACACGTTGTGTTCTTGATGAATAAAGACCTAATAGATTATTTTAAATTCCATAATCTTCCTCAACCTGTTGTTTTGTCTAAATAACTTTCCATGATATTTAAAATTTCAACTTCCACAAGCTAACTCCATAACCTTTGACAACCTTTGACATTTGACTTCAATAACCATTAACATCCTTTGACATTTAACTTCCATAACAACTGACCGTTGACTGCCATTACCTTTGACAACCTTTCACTTCCATTACCTTTGACAATCTTTGCCTCCCATTGCCTTTGACAACCTTTAACATTTGACTTCCATAACCTCTGACCTTTGACTGCCATTGCCTTTGACAACCTTTGACTGCCATTACCTTTGACATTTGACTTCCATAACCTCTGACCTTTGACTGCCATTACCTTTGACAACCATTGACTTCCATAACCTCTGACCTTTGACTGCCATAACCTTTGACAACCTTTAACTTCCATAACCTCTGACCTTTGACTGACATAACCTTTGACAACCTTTGACTCCCATTACCTTTGACAACCTTTGCCTCCCATTACCTTTGACATTTGACTTCCATAACCTCTGACCTTTGACTGCCATTACCTTTGACAACCATTGACTTCCATAACCTCTGACCTTTGACTGCCATTATCTTTGACAACCTTTCACTTCCATAACCTCTGACCTTTGACTCCCATTACCTTCGACAACCTTTACCTCCCATTACCTTTGACAACTTTTGCCTCCCATTTCCTTTGACAACCTTTACCTCCCATTACCTTTGACAACCTTTGCCACCGAATACCTTTGACAACATTTGCCTTCCATTACCTTTGACAATCTTTGACTTCCATTTCCTTTGACAACCTTTGCCTCCCATTAACCTCTGACATTTGACTTCAATAACCATCGACAATGACGGACATTTGACTTCAATAACCATCGACAATGACAGACATTTGACTTCAATAACCATCGACAATGACGGACATTTGACTTTAATAACCATCGACAATGATGGATATTTGACTTCAAAAACCATCGACAATGACGGACATTTGACTTCCCCAGCTTTCAGCACCATTTGTCTTCTGTCACCTTCTAAGACTTTGATTTCAACAACCATTGACTTTGGAAGCTTCTAAAACATATGGGTTTTTGGTAGTGTCGGGGAAACAGTTCCCAACTCCGTACTGATCAATTATCACCATTTCTCAAACGATCACTCATTGATAAGAAACCTACAGGGAAATATATAGAAAAGCATCACCAAAATTGTGATGGATATTGTTTTAAGATACCCAGCTGTATGCAAAATAATTCAATTTCTATCCAAATTTCATTCATTGAAGCTACCATATGTTGTCTGTTTTATTTAATTATGAAATTGTCCACATTAACATTGCCTTACATCTGAAATATTCATACCATCTTACAAGTATGGATCCTACACAAGAAGTAGATATTTTGGGGGTTTACTTATTGAAATAACCGTACCTTTGACCTCCTCGACTTTCTCACAACCTTCCATGACCTCAGACTTCCACACCATTCCATAACCTAGGACTTCAACAACCTTCATGACCTCCGATTATCACAACATTCCATGACCTCTGACTACCACAACCTTCCATGACCTCAGACTTCCACACCATTCCATAACCTAGGACTTCAACAACCTTCATGACCTCTGATTATCACAACATTCCATGACCTCTGACTACCACAACCTTCCGTGACCTCTGATTACCACAACCTTCCATGACCTCAGACTTCCACACTATTCCATGACCTAGGACTTCAACAACCTTCATGACCTCTAATTATCACAACATTCCATGACCTCTGACTACCACAACCTTCTGTGACCTCTGATTACCACAACCTTCCATGACCTCTGATTACCACAACCTTCCATGACCTCTGATTACCACAACCTTCCATGACCTCTGACTTCCACAACCTTTTCCGACCTCTCACTACCACAACCTTCCGTGACCTCTGATTACCACAACCTTCAATGACCTCTGATTACCACAACCTTCCATGACCTCTGATTACCACAACCTTCCATGACCTCTGATTACCACAACCTTCCGTTTGAATACCAAAATCTGATTTCATTTCAGCTCTAAAATAAAATACCAGTGATGAATATCAGAAGGTTTACCTATATACCAGGTTTTGCTTTGACATTCGAAAAACTGACAGAGTTACGACGAATTCAAATTTTATGATTGGCGGCATGTCACATGTGTGTATTGATCTGCAGTTAATAAAGCATCATAAGATATCTTTTAACTCATTCACCCCAGAAGACACATTTGAACTCTTCCAAATCAATGGTTGGAATAGTTCATTGTGAAATTTCAGGGGTGAATGAGTTAACATACTCAACAAGAACACTAACAGGTCAACAAGGGCTAGGCCATGTGCCTGACTGTAACTCCATCCCTGTCTACTCTATTTTTAGTAACTGTCACCTTGACTTCCAATGCAGGCCCCTTAATATAGTCCATGACATCAGAAGAAATCTTATTTGTATGACTACAGTGTATCTATGCATGAGTATGATTTGTGAAAACTGAACAAAGTTACAAAAATTCAATTTTTACAATCAACAATATGTTGCATGTGCCTGTTCAGGATAAAAACTGAAAAATCTAGACAATGGCAAAATCTGGATAGTTACTAAAGTGGGTCTGGTAAGTTCTTTTTTTATGGTAAGATTATGTAACATTATTGTGAAAGTATGTTTCCAAGCGTGTTTATGACCTTATTTGTAACCTCTGACCTTGTTACTTGTCAAAGGTCTCCCGGGCATTATCAATGAAATAGGTATTTTTTCATATTATTGCCCGATAATCAAATCTATCAATATTCACATCTGTTTGTCAGTTGTCTCAAAAGGTATGTAAAATTATTTATATTTATGCCGATAGTATTGTTAAAGATATTATCTGATGACGCTTCATTAACTGTTCAGATCAATACACACATATGTGACATGCCATCTATCGTAAAAAATGAATATGTCATAACGCAGCCAATTTTTCACAAGTCAAACATAAACTCCACGTACAAAGGTGTATTATAGTCATATGAATGACATCTATTCAGATGATGCTGATCAGTTCTTATAAAGATTTTGTGTGACGATGTGTTGTCTCCTAAACAGAAACTTGGTAAAATGGTGTATTATAGCCATATGAATGCCATCTATTCGGATGCTGCTTCTTATTTCTGATTTTGTGTTTATATATAATATTGACATCTGGAAAAAAATGTACATATATATGGCCCTTCAATGTTTTTGTAAAGATTAATCACAGATCAATGTGCTATAGTAAAAAAATAAAATAGTTTCATAACCATCTTTCATTAAAATAACCTCTGGACTCCAACTAATCATGCATAACCAGGCGCCTGCAATATTTGATAACCTGATTGCTATCTATTACGCTTCTACTTCAGACACAAATATCAACAGAAATTACATTCTATCTGTCACAGATCCAGTGGCTTTTATTAAATAAAGTATTCTAATAAAACCATTGCAGATAGTAAGACAAATGCGGGGGTGGGGTAGGGGGTGGGGGGTGATAAAAAGGCTTTTGTGTGAAATACCCCAGACCTAGGCTTTAAGTCTTACCATCTATAGGAGTCATCACAGCATCATGTACTATTGTGGAAACACCACCTGCCACCCCTGTAGATAGAATACAAACAGAATTATCACATAAATCTCATGGATTGTAGTCAAAATGAATGTTATTTAACTATGCCAGATTGATTTTATTGGATCAAGATACAAATGTAGGTTATACACATGTAATCAATCAACTGTTGTTTTTTCTGACTTATATGTCCAAATAACACATCTACGGTCTAGTGGGTATGGGCGATATTTCAATATATAGCATCCTATTTGAGTTATGGCGGTAGCCTTATAAATGGAGAATGACTAAATGCTAAGTAACAATACGTCTTTACAGTGACACTGCAGAGCAAAAGTATATACACAGTATCATAAAGTCACTTTACAACCCACAATCTGTACAATCTGAACTTTATAGCTTAGTAATAATAAATATACAGGTAAGTTACATGTACCTGAAGATTTTGTTATCATTATAGATAAACATACTTCTAATATCACTGAATCACATTGTTTTTACACTATATTTTAACTCTGAACACAACCTTGACCTTGACAGTTTACATGTACTGTAATTTAAGATGGTTCTCAGCTAATTTTGGTATTTTAATCACCATTGATATATATTTGTTGCTGCTGCAGTAACAAACCAAGAAAACAGCTGGAGCTGAACAAGACACACCAATCTCATGCCAAAGTGACATTTACTTTCAATCATTCTGATGCATTAATATATGGAATTAGACTACCTTCAATAAGGTTCTCAGCTATTACTTTGCTTCTATGTACTACTGTTAATATCAATATCTACAAATATAATTTGAACTTTTTCTTCAAATCGAATGAGACCCATAAAAAGCATGAAAAACAATAGTGGACTCACAATTATGTGTGAACAGCTTTTATTTGTTTTGACAATTATCTTTTAAAACGTTTTTTCATTTGACATTTTTATGGAAAGTTCAGAAGGTTTTTTGATAATGGGAAAATGTCCATGGTGCAGTCTGTTGCTTTTGAATAGTGAAATATTATTGAAAATGGGCACTAATATGCTGTCTTTATAATTCATCTATTTATACTGCATTTGTATATTATATCAAAATCTGTTCAGCCATTTCAAAGTTTTGTTTGGAATGAAAGTATGGACAGGCAATAGAACAGATCACAGGAAGTGGACAAAAAACACCTAAATATAGCAAAATATTCTCATTAAATATCATATTGCACTACAAATATTTCCCTCGCAAACTTTGTCGGAGCCATCTGTTGAAACTACCAGCCAAATATTATTATATAAGATTCAATGCTTTTTGGTTCTTCTTCAGAAGTTGTTTGACATATTTTTCCCTGTGACCTTGTAAGTAGGTCAATGTCATTTTCCTTCTCAAACTTTGTTAGCTCTATCCCAAAAAGCTACCAGCCAAATCTTATGAATCCATTCCTTTTTGTTCTTCAGAACAAATCCTTTGAAATGTTCTTGACCACTGTGACCTTTAAAGTAGGTTGAGGTCATTTTCATTTGCAAACTTTGGTGAGCTCTATCCCAGGAAGACACCAGCCAAATATTATAATTGTATGCCTTTCGATTATTCAGAAGAAGTCATATGATGTTTTTGACATATTTGACCCCTGTGACCTTGAAAGTAGGTCAGTCATTTTCATTCTCAATCTTTGTCGTGCTCTATCTCAGAAAGTCAACATTCAAATATGAAGGTTCTATACCTTTTAGTTCTTTAGAAGAAGTCATTTAAGAGTTTGACATATTTGACACCTGTGACCTTGAAAGTAAGTCAAGGTCATTTTCATTCTCAAACTTTGTCGAGCTCTATCTCAGGAAGCCACCAGCCAAATATGAAGATTCTATACCTTAAAGTTTTAGTTCTTCAGAAGAAGTCGTTTGAAGCGTTTGACATATATGACCACTGTGACCTTGAAAGTAGGTCAGTCATTTTCTTTCTCAAACTTTGTCGGGCTCTATCCAAGGAAGCCATCAGCCAAATATGAAGATTCTATACTTTTCAGTTCTTCAACAGAAGTCGTTTAAAGAGTTTGATATATTTGACCCCTGTGACCTTGAATTGACAAGGTCATTTTCATTCTCAAACTTTGTTGGGCTCTATCCCAGGAAGCCACCAGCCAAATTTGAAGATACTATGCCTTTCAGTTATTTAGAAGACATTTGAAGCGTTTGACACATTTGACCCATGTGACCTTGAAAGTAGGTCAAGGTCACTTTCGTTCTCAAACTTTGTCGTGCTCCTACCAACGAAGCTTTCACATAAATATCATGGCTCTATGCCTGTTCGTTCTTTAGAAGAAATTGTTTTAAGGAAAAGTTGACGGACGACAGATGGACGACGGACGAAGGACGGACGTCCGTCCTTCGGGCAGGTGAGCTAAAAAGGAAAGACAGGTAGAAGACCTAGAACAGAGTGAGGGATGTGGACAAAAAGATACACCGGGTAGGTAATAGAGTTAACTAAATTACAAAATTGCAGACATTAAGATTGCACAGGTAACATTGCAGACAAGACAGATATCATATGGAAAAAGACGATGCAGACTGGCAGTTAAGAGCAAACTAAGGGATGAGGACAAAAGTGTATGACAGACAGTTAATAGAGTAGAGGGATGTGGATACAATCCTAGTCCTCTCAAATTTAACTGGAGGTGTCTAAATATACATAGGATTAGGAAGAGCCTATATTACTACGTATACAGAGCTCTTAATCTAGAGGCAAGTAGGTTTAACAATAACTCCAAACTTACCATGAGTGAAGTGAGTTCCCCTCTGTCCATTTGCCAGATATTTTTTTGTCTTCTCATAGCATGTGAAGTACAGAGCATGTGCAGGCCCTGCCCCGCCAACGACAACCTGTATCCCCCGTAAAGTGTTCCGCATACCCTCAAATTTCACGATCTTATGGAAGGCATCAAGGATACTGCGATAATCAGCTTTTGGATCAGGAACAAGTGACTGCATTCGTGTCTAAAAAATACATCCAGGTTTATAGACATTCAATTTTTAACTGTTGGGTAGCTTTTTCCAAGTTCTTTAAAAAGAAAGTTCAAGACCTTAAAAGGCATGTGAATAAACATTCTTCGTCTGTCAATACACCCATAATATAATTACATTATTATATTATGGGTGTATTGCATGATTGAGTCAATTGACAGACAAAGCCAGTACATACAAAAGCGAAAAAAAACCATAATTAGTTCAAATTCTGTTTTCAATTATTCACTTATTCAGCACCTTATGAAATGAAGGTAGAAATAAAACAATGAATAAGAAGCATAATAGAACACTTTCATTGAGACCAAAATTTTTGTGTGGTAAAATATCAACAAGCTAGATACACCAAGACATGATGACGACCGATTTTAGGCCCACTAGATGTCTTAAAATAAACACCAAGACTCAACAAGACATTGGCACACACTTTCATGACTTCTATATAAGTTTCATCTTTTCTCCTGTTTTCTGTTTTATATCTGCTGGATAAACAGACATGCCCACAGTAACCACACTGTCTGGTTATCCAAAATTTATATAAGTACCTTTACTTTCATTTCAGTGATTTTGTTCAACTTTATCCGAGCAAGGTAAAGTATACATCTAATGTTCTGCTGTAAATGAAAATTCTTTAAAAAAAAGTCAGTAAATACATATGTATGCATTCAAGATCAGAGGGGAATTGAAAGAAAATGTTTTTTTTTCTCCAAGGGAAATTTACTGTTTTTAAAAGCAATTTTAAAAGAAGGAAAAAATACAAGGTGACATTGGGAAAAAAGTATGTATATAATGTTATAATATAATTTTCTATTCTTCAAAGGAAACATGAACAAAAAGCAAGAGGCCTAATGGACCTTTACTTGCTCATGTTATTCCTTCAAAGACAGTTCAGGTCAAAATCATCTACAGCTAAAATAGGTCAAGTATAGATCATCACTCTACACATAATGGGTCTTTGTTGGGATACTTTATTACCTTGGAAGATGCTAACTTAATTTAAATTATTGATCTGAACTTCAAATTTGGTCGAAGTCATTCATCAAGACCCACCATTTCATAGCAATTTAAACCATTAAATTAAAGGCTGTATATTATGACCCTTGGTCTCTTGGTTATTCAGAGGAAGTAATTTAAACTTTTTAACACCTTTTGTCTCATGTGTTCTTGAAAGTGTGTCAAGGGTATTTATTTGAACATTTTATTAGCCCTTCATCTAAGCATTCTACTGGAAAAGTATCATCATCCTAGGTCTTTTTGTTATTATAAACAAGATGTTGTTTAAAAAGTATCACCAAATAAAACCTCATGTACCCTTAAAAGTAGGCCAAGGTCATGAATTTTAACCAACTTGATAGTTATTCAAGCATGCATGCTCCAAGCCAAATACTGTATCATGATCACACTATATAGGCCTCTTTTGTCATTTACAAGAATCTTTTGAGTGATTTTTACCTATTTGTCCAGCGGCTTTGGAAATGGGTCAAGAAATCTTCATCCAAGTTCGTTATTGGATATACATTGGTCAAGTATCAATACCGTTCATTTTTTTTATATCCAAAAGGAGTGGTTAAAAGGTTTTATCACATGTGACCCTTTGACATTGAAAGTTGGTCAAGGTCATTTGCTTGAACAAACTTGATAATCCTTCATCCCAGCATGCCAATGGCTAAATGTCACGACAAAAGGCCTCTTGGTTATTCATGAAGAACTTGTTTTTAATGTTTGCCAAATTTGAGCTATGATCTTTCAATGAGTTGTCAAGGTCATTCATTATATCCTTTCATCCTAACATGCTACTGGCAAAATATCATCACCTAATTAGGCCTCTTTGTTATTCACAAGAACAGGGCTGTTTCAAATTGTGTCTGGGCTACTACCGGTACTTTAAATGAATTAAAAAAAAATCCACAACTTGCAAGTTGCTTGGATGAATTTTACAAATTTGAGCTGTTTGACCTTGAAAGTTGAAAAAAGTAATTCATTTGAATAAAGTTGATAGTATAGTCTTCATCCCTGCAAGCTACTGAAATATCACTACCTTACCCTTTTTGTATTTCTGAGAAGTTGTTTAACCATTTTTACAATGTTGACCCCTATGGCCTTAAAAGTGGGTCAAGGTCCTTTATTGGAAATGGTTGATGGCCTGCTACCTTCCATCACAGCATTCAACTGACCATGGCTAAATACCACTACCCTGTCAAAGTGTGTTCGTTTGAACATTTAAACAAATGACCTGTAACCTTTAAAGTGGGTACGTAAAGGTCATTCCTTTGAAAAACTTGTAGATGTTAGGTCGTAAAGTTGAAGGGTTAATAGGATTTCAGAATATTTTACGATAAGGGCTGCATCTCATTTTAACATTCACTGATTATCACTGATAGCACCTACTACTAGAATTCATGGTGTGATTTTAGGGTTAATGTACAGGTGTCATCCAAAGGATAATTGATGTATTTTTATTCACATTTAGGGTTTTATACTAAGTTAACGTTACAATTAGAATTTAATTATGGTACTCTGGGTAAACATCTTCATGGGAGATATAGGACTGAAGGAGAAAAGTTGAAAATGTAAATTTACGTCTTCTCAACCTGCTTTCAACTTCCAAGCTTGTTACTAGTATATAACAAGAGGCCCAGAGGGCCTGTATCGCTCACCTGTATATCAAATTGAAGCAATCATGGCAAAATATTCTCCGAATGAGATCAAGGGAATATGCCAGACCCCAAGGCCAATCCTTGTAGCATATCTGTATTAGATTATTCATGCCCAGCAATTTTATGTATGGTTATGGGGTGGGGATCTCAACTGTTTCCAAGTTTTGACTCAGAAACTAGGTCCCTAGGGTTGTGGCCAGTCCCCAGGATCAATTCTAATATCGTGACTGCATTTGTCCCTTTTTGCCCAGCATTTTTGTATATATAGTTTTGGGGTGGGGATCTAAACCATTTCGAAGTTATGACCCAGGGGTTAAGTCTCCAAGGGTGGGGCAGTCCCCAAGGCCATCCTGGAAGCAAATGTGCAATCATCTCTTTATACTCAGCAATTGTATACCATGGTTACATGGTGGGGATCTCAACCATTTCCAAGTAGTACACTTTTTTTGGCCCCACCCCTTAGCCCGGGGGGTCAGCCCCACCATTTGTACAATTTTGAATCCCTGCCTCCCATGAATGCTTCCGACCAAACATGATCAATATCCATGGCATATTTCTACAGTATAAGTTGTTTATAGAAATATAGCCAAATTGCCCCTGCCCTCAGCCCCCTGGGGATCAGCCCTACCAATTGTATAATTTTGAATCCCCACCACCTAGGGATGCTTCCAGTCAAATATGGTTGATATATATCCACTTCTTAGTTCCAGAGAAGAAGTCGCTTATAGCAATATTGCAAAATTGACCCTTTTTGCCCCGCCCCTCAGCCCCACCATTTTTCATAATTATAATAATAATAATTTGAGGTTTTTATATACCGTTTTATCACAACCTATAACCTAGTTCTAGTCTCAAAGCGGTTCATAAACTACTATCCTTGGTTATAGGGCCTTTGTAACCAGCCAATATCTTTCTCAACTTCCTGGGGAGCATACAGCCACTGCTGCCATTTCGGCGCTCACAGCTAGCATTCAACAATTCTAGCACTGCCTAACCACGTTTTCATCTAGAGCCAAAAAGACTGGAACAAGCAAAGTAAAGTATCTTGCTCAAAGATACAACACAGTGCCATGCCGTGACTCGAACCTGCAACCCTTTTGGCACGAGCCCGGTGTCCTACCGCTAGACTACCACTGGACTATATAGCTACCACTAGACTACCATTTAACCCGAGTGAATAATTTACTACCCAAGTATGTGTATTCCTTTGCCAAGTGACACATACAGTAACAGGGGTTGATTACAGACATCAACGGTACAGGGAACATTTAGAACCTATATAGCTTTAACCTTTGACATTTGGGCTTCACTAATGACATCTATGTGTCAGCTCTCTCTTGCAGGTGCATATAAGGGACTGATAAACTTAAGCTCACGCAAAGTTCCCAAAGCATGTAAACGATACTTGTGTGCATATCACAATCAAAGAAGTCTAAAGACACTTTGCAAGTGACTTAATAAATTGAACTCGGTATCATCAACGGTTATTGACACAACACATTGGTGGTCAAATGTAAGGGCGATAACTACTGCCTAGGTAAGGTACGCAGAATCCACATGCCTACTTCCCTGTATAATTGGTGTGACATGGTCAGTATCAAAGTATTCTGATACCAACAGATAAGAATCGTGGTTAGTAGTAATGTTGACATGCGTGATTCGGACACACGACACTTTCACTGTAAAGCGTCTGTATGAGTCAGCTTTTCACTTAAAACCACACGTGCGACGTGGACATACTTTTAACCACTAAGCGTAATGTTTTACATCAAAATCACACTCAGTTATAAAAAGAGATTGTATAACTTTCCTCGCACCTTTACACAGTCGACAGGATACATGACACAGTGTTCCATGACGCCGGCAGCAGCCCCCGCCAGCATGTGGGTCGAGGTTGTACTCGTAGGGGGCAAACATTCATACGGGTCGTCTTCGTCCATTACACAATAAAAACGCCCGTTTCACTACACACACACAGAAAAGTAGTCTTATAGTCTTTACATCCGATGAACTTCCTTCGTTAAGACATGTTAGGTGTATATAATCCGTCGTCCTACTTTATAACTTTCTTTGCACATGGCTCACTTCGTAACGTTTCTGGTGGAAAGAGAGTATACAAATAAACCCAACGACCGGACCGAGGTTACGGAACTTATGCAATACCTCGGATTACCTCCCCTCTACCAATCACAAACCAAGTACATTCTTAAAACATACATAAAAAACTTGATGGAGAGTCAGATTTTGAGGTAGTCGATAGCAATAAGAGGAAAGCAAACATTTTTTTTGTTTAAATACGTAAAAGAAAACATCAAAAAATAAAAACAACAACAACAGCAACGGTATGCTGTTAAAAAGCCTACCGCCTCTCCGGAGTTCTAATAACTGTTTTATAAGTAAAACACGAACAAGAATATATCTACGGTCCTCAGATTACCAAGTGGCTCAGTAAAGTGTACCGTACAATGACAGAAATTCTTATGAACAAGGAGTGTTGTCATTATGTATCTGACATTTTGCTTTCATTTTGTATCGACACGGACTTTGCTAAGTATAGAGTAAATGTACCAGAAACGTGTCATTAAATGTAATCTATAAGTGTATCCATCTTTTTCTAAAAATAGCTAGCTTTTTTTCTCTTTGATATTTGGTTATTTTATCACGATTATATATATATATTATAATTTTAATGATGATATACTTAATATGTATCCCCGAGCGGGGCGGGGCATTTTTTTTCATAGGGTACAGAAATTACAGAATTTTAGTAAATATGTTGAGGCATGTGACCTCAACTGAATTTTGGTGACAGAAATCTCACACCCGATCCCATCACTGTACGTACTGTGCTGTTAATATTAAAACAGCCGTGAGGGAATAGTAAATACGTATACACTCTAGAAGTATTGATCATTGTATTGGAATTTGTTCAAATTTCGCTATATATGCTTTGGACATATGTTGATAGGTACACGTTAAAAAAAACACCTTAACTTTAAGTTCGGGTTATGGTTAAATCACACACAAAAATGTTCCAGAAAGCACAAAGGCCTAGAGCCTCAAGATTGCATTCTTTTAATTTTAGACAAACACACATACATACATACATACATACATACATACATACATACATACATAAAAAAAACACTTTCTTAGTGAATGCATTTGTTGAAATCTAGTTTAATTTACTTATTAATTAAAGTAATCCGTATAGGACTATTTATATATTTCATTACGTACATGTCCATGTGTATTTTTTTTCATTCGACCACCAGGCCACCGCGTTTGGTTACTCATCTGAAACTGAGGTAATATTCTTCATCAAATGACTCTACTGTTCGCGATGTACTTTATATGACCAATTAGTACCGAGACATGCGTACCGAATGACGTCACAGAATATGTTATAAATACTTTTTACCTATAGTAAGCTATTAGTTACCCGACATTGACGTCGCGCTTGATCTACGTTAGAATATCAACTTACGGTCTGACGGAGACGGATCTGGTTTGGATTATAACAATTACCGGTAACAAATCACGAAAACAGTTAATGGTTTTACGGCCATGGTTTTAACATTTTATATCACGCTCCCGGACATTTTATTTTTATATCTACTATCACTGACGAGGGTAAACCGACAAACAAGGTTATCAGTCTCTTGTAATGAGGGTGTTTGTCGACTACTTGGTGTAATATTTAGCTAAAAAATAAGGAGTAATTCGACCTCATGACCGAAGGGTTGCGGGTTTGCGCCACGGCACGGCAATGTGTTGTATCTTGTTCCAGTCTACTCAGCTGTAAATGAGTTCGTGGTTGGGCAGGGCTAGAATTGTTGAATGCTAGCTGTCAGCGCCGAAATGGCAGCTCCGGCTGTATGCTACCCAGGGAGTTGAGAAAAGTATTGTCTGGTTGCAAAGGCCCTATAACCACGGATATTAATTTGTGAACCGCTTTGAGACGAACTACGAATTAAGTTGTGATAAAGCGGTATATAAGAACCTCAAATTATTATTAATTAATTATCACTTGGTATCTAAGCCACCTTATATTACTAGTCCCTTAATTAGTTGAGAGTTCCATTTATCTCACTCACATCAAAAAATAAAAACACCAACAACAGCAACAAATAAACAAGAATACAGTGACCACAATTAAATTGTATGCTGTTAAAAAGCCTACCGCCTCTCCGGAGTTCTAATAACTGTTTTATAAGTAAAACACGAACAAGAATATATCTACGGTCCTCAGATTACCAAGTGGCTCAGTAAAGTGTACCGTACAATGACAGAAATTCTTATGAACAAGGAGTGTTGTCATTATGTATCTGACATTTTGCTTTCATTTTGTATCGACACGGACTTTGCTAAGTATAGAGTAAATGTACCAGAAACGTGTCATTAAATGTAATTAAGTGTATATATAGAAAACCTTAATCCGCCTTACAACGTGGTTTATTCTCAACGTCCTAACGTATATCCATCTTTTTCTAAAAATAGCTAGCCTTTTTTCTCTTTGATATTTGGTTATTTTATCACGATTATATATATATATTATAATTTTAATGATGATATACTTAATATGTATCCCCGAGCGGGGCGGGGCACATTTTTTCATAGGGTACAGAAATTACAGAATTTTAGTAAATATATTGAGGCATGTGACCTCAACTGAATTTTGGTGACAGAAATCTCACACCCGATCCCATCACTGTACGTACTGTGCTGTTAATATTAAAACAGCCGTGAGGGAATAGTAAATACGTATACACTATAGAAGTATTGATCATTGTATTGGAATTTGTTCAAATTTCGCTATATATGCTTTGGACATATGTTGATAGGTACACGTTAAAAAAACACCTTAACTTTAAGTTCGGGTTATGGTTAAATCACACACTAAAATGTTCCAGAAAGCACAAAGGCCTAGAGCCTCAAGATTGCATTCTTTTAATTTTAGACAAACACACATACATACATACATACATACATACATACATACATACAAACATAAACAAAACACTTTCTTAGTGAATGCATTTGTTGAATTTTTCACCAGTGTTACGACCACCTATCTTACTGCTGTGCTAATGGGAAATTGTCACCAGTACTAGCGTTACGACCACCTGTCTTACTGCTGCCCCAGTGGGAAATTGTCACCAGTATTACGACCATCTATCTTACTGCTGACCCAGTGGGAAATTGTCACCAGTGTTACGACCATCTATCTTACTGCTGCCCCAGTGGGAAATTGTCACCGGTGTTACGACCACCTATCTTACTGCTGCCCTAGTGGGAAATTGTCACCAGTGTTACGACCACCTATCTTACTGCTGTGCTAATGGGAAATTGTCACCAGTACTAGGGTTACGACCACCTGTCTTACTACTGCGCCACTGGCAAATTTACACCAGTGTTACGACCACCTTTCTTAGCGCTGTGCTAATGGGAAATTGTCACCAGGACTAGCGTTACGACCACCTGTCTTATCACTGCCCCATTGGGAAATTTTCACCAGTGTTACGACCACCTTTCTTAGCGCTGTGCTAATGGGAAATTGTCCCCAGTACTAGCGTTACGACCACCTGTTTTACTACTGCGCCACTGGCAAATTTACACCAGTGTTACGACCACCTTTCTTAGCGCTGTGCTAATGGGAAATTGTCACCAGGACTAGCGTTACGACCACCTGTCTAACTGCTGCCCCAGTGGGAAATTGTCACCGGTGTTACGACCACCTATCTTACTGCTGACCCAGTGGGAAATTGTCACCAGTGTTACGACCATCTATCTTACTGCTGCCCCAGTGGGAAATTGTCACCAGTGTTACGACCACCTTTCTTACCGCTGTGCTAATGGGAAATTGTCACCAGTACTAGCGTTACGACCACCTGTCTAACTGCTGCCCCAGTGGGAAATTGTCACCAGTGTTACGACCACCTATCTTACCGCTGCCCGGGGGGAAATTGTCAACAGTGTTACGACCACCTATCTTACTGCTGCCCCAGTGGGAAATTGTCACCAGTGTTACGACCACCTATCTTACCGCTGCCCGGGGGGAAATTGTCAACAGTGTTAAGACCACCTATCTTACTGCTGCCCCAGTGGAAAATTGTTACCAGTACTAGTGTCACGACCACCTCTTACTGCTGCCCCAGTGGGAAATGTCACCAGTGTTACGACAACCTATCTGATTGCTGCGCCAGTGGCAACTTTTCACCAGTGATAAGACCACCTATATTACTGCTGCGCCAATGGGAATTGTCACCAGTGTTACGACCACCTATCTTACTGCTGCCCCAGTGGAAAATTGTTACCAGTACTAGTGTCACGACCACCTCTTATTGCTGCCCCAGTGGGAAATGTCACCAGTGTTACGACAACCTATCTGATTGCTGCGCCAGTGGCAACTTTTCACCAGTGATAAGACCACCTATATTACCGCTGTGCCAATGGGAAATTGTCACCAGTGTTACGTCGACCTATCTTACTGTTGCCCGGGGGGAAATTGTCAGCAGTGTTACGACCACCTATCTTACTGCTGCCCCAGTGGGAAATTGTCACCAGTATTACGACCATCTATCTTACTGCTGCCCCAGCGGGAAATTGTCACCAGCGTTACGACCACCTATCTTACTGCTGCCCCGGTGAGAAATTGTCATCAGTACTAGCATTACGACCACCTATCTTATTGCTGTCCCAGTGGGAAATTATCACCAGTGTTACGACCACCTATCTTACTGCTGCCCCAGTGGAAAATTGTCACCAGTGTTACGACCACCTATCTTCTTGCTGGCCCAGATTGTCACCAGTGTTACCACCATCTATCTTACTGTGGCCCCAGCGGCAAATTGTCACCAGTACTAGCATTACGACCACCTATCTTACTGCTGCGCCCGTGGAAAATTGTCACCAGTGTTACGACCACCTATCGTACTGCTGCCCCAGTGGCAAATTGTCACCAGTGTTACGACCACCTATCTTACTGCTGCCCCAGTGGCAAATTGTCACTAGTGTTACGACCACCTATCTTACTGCTGCCCCGGTGAAAAATTGTCACCAGTACTAGCATTACGACAACATATCTTACTCCTACGCCAGTGAGAAATTGT